TCTAAATGGAAATACATATCACAGTATCTGCTTCTGGCTATGTGAAGGCCAGTGGGAAAGAAATAACAGCTCATAGAAATTATATTCACTTTCTTGCCAACAGTGAGAGTTCTCATTTGGGCCACAAACCAAGAAAGCTTTCATTCACAAAGACATTGAAGCTTTGTTTTTAGGAGGCAGATCTTAGGTCTGGGTTTGACACTGGTATTGATGGCTGTTCGAGGATTCATTAATCCTTTGTTTTTCTTTTTTTCTTACCTAAAAGGCTCAACAGGTAGCCTAATGTCTGTATCATCACTGTAGTTACAGCTACATCATGTGAAAAGGGAAATTTAAAACAAACTATATGACACAAATGTTACATTATTTAAGTTTTATTACATTTACTTGCTGATACACAATCCACTGGAATCAGGATAATCCACATATATATATATCACTGGTAGTCTAAAACTACAAAAACATCTTGAGCAACACATGCCTGCAGGGGTTTGATCCACATCTTAACCAAGCCTTGATTTTATGATCTACTCTGATGATGGAATCCTTTTGTCCTTTCTTTTGAACAAACAACCTATTATTTCAAGATCTGATCTAATCCGATAGCCGGGATCTGATCAGATTACTGCAGGGCCCTTGTCTAGTCTTTGTTGTTAATGAAAATGCCTCATCACTGTTACGTAAACTGAAAATAACTTACGGCCGGCAAACCCCGTTTTCCACCTGGGGGCAGTCTTCGTCAGGCTGCCTTTTTGTGTGAAGACAATGGCCACTGTCCTCCAAGACTCCAGACTTCACTGTTGACTCTCAGACAGGCACATGCATGAGAAGCTGCTGAGGGCTGTCAACAAGGGAGCGGGGCTCGTATTTCACATTATGAATAAGAAAGTCGGGTCATTTTTGGTTTGTTGTGATCTGCAACACTAGACGTGAAAACTTTCTGTTTATTGAACATTACAGCTGTTGTGTAACGCATCAGCTGACTGTCAATACCATCACGAAGCATAAAGTGTTGGTTTACAGAGTCGGGAAGTTTAATTCGGTCGTTTACATGTCCTCTCATTGTGCATTTCATCCCCTGAACCCTCACAGACGTTGGTGACAATGCGTAGGCGAGTCCTGAGGTGGCCGTTGACATTTGGATGCCACCTGAACGGGGAGCTCTGCTTACTAAGGCCTACCTGTGAGCTATTGATGCTACTTATGCTGCAGCAATCATTAGATTAACACGGGGGGCCCTCATAGCTCCCAAGTGTCTTAATGCCTTCACAAAGCAGTCTCCAAAGGCAGACTATTCATAAAGCTGAGGTCATGACCTCAGAAATGCAGGTTTGTTAGCACAATTGGTTCTATTTAAGCTGACAGGAAAGCTGCTTTTAGCGTCGGGTCAGAGCTCTCTCATAGACTTTAAATACATCTTCTAATAA